AAATAAAATTGAAAAATTGCAACTTTTTAGTTTAAAATTAAGAAATTGAAACTTTTACAATAAAAAGACAGAAAAAATGTATGAATAAAATTGAAAAATTGCAACTCATACATTTTTCTGTCTTTTTATTGTAAAAGTTTCAATTTCTTAATTGTAACAAATAAAATATTAAAAAGACAAATTTTTCAGATTTTAAACTAAAAAGATGCAATTTTTCAATTTTATTTATAGGTTTTTTTGTAAAAGTTTCAATTTCTTCATTTTAAACTAAAAAGTTGCAATTTTTCAATTTTATTCATACATTTTTTCTGTCTTTTTATTGTAAAAGTTTCAATTTCTTAAATTTAAACTAAAAAGTTGCAATTTTTCAATTTTATTTATAGATTTTTTCTGTCTTTTTATAGTAAAAGTTTCAATTTCATAATTGTAATAAATAAAATATTGAAAATACAAATTTCTAAGATTTTAAACTGAAAAAGTTTCAATTTTTCAATTTTATTGACAGATTTTGGTGTGTCTTTTTATAGTAAAAGTTTCAATTTCTTAATTTAATTGCGAGTTTTTTTTCTGTGTGTTTTTTAAAGTAAATGTTTCAATTTCATAATTGTATTAAACAAACTAATAAAAATAGAAATTGTTAAGATTTTAAACTAAAGAGTTGCAATTTTTCAATTTTATTAACAAATTTTTGTCAGTATTATTATAGAAAAAGTTTCAATTTCTTAATTTTAATTCTGTGTATTTTTTAATAGTAAATGTTTCAATTTCATAGTTGAAATAAATAAAATATTAAAAATACAAAATTCTTAAATTTTAAATTGAAAAAGTTGCAATTTTTCAATTTTATTTGCAGATTTTTTCTGTCTTTTTATAGTAAAAGTTTCAATTTCATAATTGTAATAAATAAAATATTAAAAAGACAAAATTCTTAGATTTTATAGTTGAAATCATAATTTTATCGAATAAAATCTGCAGAAATAAAAAATCTAAGACAAATATGTTCCTTTTTTTATTAGAACTACTCGAAAGTAGGTCAAATGATTTCATCTATTGTTTCAAAATCTCTTTAACATAAATATGCACACTTTTCATGTATAATTTATATGTTACAATTATTTATTTATGTTTTGTAATTATTGATTGAAATAATATTGTTTTCAACTCGAGTTATCAGGTTTATCGAAAAAATGTACCTGCATTGAGAATTAGTGGTTTTCATTGAACGCAGACAGAAGAAACAGGCTTTGTATAAATAAATAAATTTAATGAATTTCAATGTACGACTTTGTTGTTGTTATGAACGAATTTTTGTCTGCAAACACATTTTATTGATTCTAAACTTTTTTTTGACAAAAAAAAACAAGTCAAAACTTTAGACTGAAGATGAATGTTCAATTATAAGTAAAAAGTAAATAGAAATACAAAACTTTACATGTAAAATAAAGTCACGATGAAAGAAATGTTAAATATTTTATATGGTAAGAGTAGAATAAAGTCTAATTACTGTATTATTCCAGCAGATTACAAATTGGAAATTCTGAAATTGCTGACCTTGAGTATATATATATTTGTTTCTTTCTTCTAATTATAGCTTATTGTAATCACTGGTAAATTGAAAATAAATCTACAAGCATTAGTGTAGAAAGTGCAAACAGTTGGTAATAAGTAAAATGTAAGTTCGAGGTAAAAGAAAACGATTGAGTTAACTAAATTAATTTGTGGTAAAGTCAATAGGCGTGCTTCTTGATCCGATGTAGTTAGAGAGAGGGACGGATTTTACGCAACAGTTCACGAAAGACACGACCACACGATCAGTCTCAAACTCTCCCCATTCATTAGTGCTTGGAAGGAGTGCAAGAATCTTTCATCATTCCCCTTTCTCAAACGGACTTTCGCACTAATCTCAGTTATATTTCTTGTAATTCTTATTAGCTTTAGTTTGGATCATAATTTTTACCCCCCATCTTTTGGCAATCAAATTGTTAATTTCACAATTTCGTCTCATTTCTTAAAGAAGTTCTCACTAATTTATGAAAGCAATGATCCAAGCTTTAAAATACTTGTACACTTCTTAGAAGAACTTCAAACATATTTCTGTTAATTCTGATTTACAATGATCCAAACTTTAATACATTTTATTTTGCAGAATAAAATCTATAAAAAATGCAGACAAATTTCTCTTAATTCTCATTAGCAATCATCTAAACTTTGAGATTAGATTTTACCCCATCTTTTGGTAAGTTAATTATTAAATCTACAATATCACCTCTATTTCAGAAATAATTTTCATTAATCTATGAAATTTCAATCATATTTCTGTTAATTTTGTGTAGCAATAATCCAAACTTTAAGATTAGATTTTATACCATTTCTTTCCAAAAGAATTTCCCTCTAATTAATGAAATTTCAATCATATTTCTGTTAATTTTGATCCAAACTTTAAAATTACATTTTACCCCATTTCTTTCCAAAAGAATTTCTCACTAATCAACGAAATTTCAACCATATTTTTTTGTAATTCTAATTAGCAATGATCCAAATTTACTGATTATATTTTTACCCCATCTATTGGCAAGAAAAGGACGTTCTTAGTAATCTACAAAATTCCATTCATATTTCTGATAAATTTGTTTAGCTTTGATCCAAATTTTAAAATTATATTTTTACCCCATCTTTTGGCAAATCCGTAATTTCGCGAAGAACGTTCTCAACAATCTACGAAATTCTAGTTAAATTTCTGTTAATTCTCATTAGTAATTAGCAAACTTTGAGATTAGATTTTTACCCCATCTTTTGGTAATCAAATTGTTAAATTTCGCGAAGAACGTTCTCAACAATCTACGAAATTCTAGTTAAATCTCATTAGTAATTAGCAAACTTTGAGATTACATTTTTACCCCATCTTTTGGCAATAAAATTGTTAAATTTTGCGAAGAATGTTCTCAGCAATCTACGAAATTCTACTTAAATTTCTGTTAATTCTCATTAGTAATTAGCAAACTTTGAGATTAGATTTTTACCCCATCTTTAGGCAATCAAATTGTTAAACAAAAACTAAAGATTTAGTTTCCATTAGATATTCAATGAATTGCAGCATTCGAACAGAACTTCTAACCATAATTTTGAGGTAAATACGCAACGAAATGATTTGATTGAACCCCGACGGTCATCGTTTATCATAAAACAGTGAGTTTCGACAGAGCGAAGAAATCCATGAGCCTCGAGACATCCACTTTACTTCCCTCGTTCGACAGCAGATTGAAACGCATTTTTTTCCCTCGAATTCCGCCGTTGGGTAAAAACGTTTTTACGGTTTTGTTCCAAAAAAAAATATATCAAATAGAAAATATATGAAAACGTAACGAAATAAATCGATTTACCTTAAACACAAAAACAATGAAATTTTTTTATGTTATTGAAGAACAAGAAATTGGACTTTGGTATAATTTTAATTGGCTTTAAATACTAATAGATAAAATTCCTAAAATCTAATTCCTAATAATAGTTCAACTCTCGTTTCCTGTTCTTCTGCTTGTTCAGCTTCCTCTGAATGGTCTTCTGGATCCAAGGTAAATACGTGGGAAGATTCGTGTAAACCCCAGGCCATCCGCCCTTCCCGCATCCAGTTCCAAAGCTCACTATACCCTCAGCATACCACCGATTATTCACGTAAACCATCAGAGGTCCACCGGAATCTCCGGAACAGGAATCCTTCCCAGATTCACCACCAGCGCAGATGTGATTCTTCTCCTTCAGAAGAACGTTGATCGTGTTGTACTTCTCGTAGCAAGGCTTGAACGGGTACCTGGGTAACTCCACCTTGAGCTTCACCGAACTTTCCGCCTGCGTCTCAGTCTTACCCCAACCAGAAACCCACAACAACTCTTCAGTTTGTGATTGCTTCGTTATGCACAACGGCTGAATATAATCTACAAAATAAATAACAATTAAATCCTCGCATGAAGTTGTTTAATGATTTACCTGAAAAATTGATTTGCTCCTTGAGAGGGATCAAGGCTAAATCGTTATTATGATTGTTGTAATCGTTGTTGTATCCTGAGTAAACCACAGGTGAGCCTGCTAAGATCCTGATGGTTCGATCCGCGCATAAACCTCGATCACAATCCACGTCCGTGCTCGAGTCGTGTTCACCGAAAATTATTTGATAACTGCGAAGATAAATGTAGATTTTCGTATTTGTTGTTGTTGTTGTTTTCGTCTCACTTACACCGGTCCTATCGTCGCGATCAAATCTTTGTTAGCGACGCAGTGGGCTGCTGTCAGCACGAACTTCTTGTGGATGAGGAATCCGCTGCATCCGTAATACGTGCTTCCCGTTCTTGAGCGATGTCGTAATCGCACCATCCATGGAAATTCGCCGAGTGTCGCTTCGTTGCCTCCGAATATTCGACTCGCCAGAATGTTCACCTTGTGTTTGCCGCATTTCTCCGGTAAAGGATCGATGAAATCGTCTACTTCATCTGGTATCAATTGATCTGCAACAATCATAAATTATGATGAAGAAAAAGCAATTTTTCTAAATAATTTCACTAATCTATAAAATTTCAATTATATTTCTGTTAATTTTGAGTAGCAAACTTTAAGATTACATTTTACCCCATTTCATTCCAAAATAAATTACTTTTCATTTATACTTAATACAATTAGCTTCAATATGAACAAAATTATGATGAAGAAAAAGCAATTTTTTTAAATAATTTCACTAATCTAAGAAATTTCAATTATTTTTCTGTTAATTTTGAGTAGCAAGGGTCCAAACTTTAAGATTACATTTTTCCAAAAGAATTTCCCACTAATTTATGAAATTTCAATAATATTTCTGTTAATTTCGAGTAGAAATGATCCAAACTTTAAGATCACATTTTACCCCATTTCTTTCCAAAATAAATTACTTTTCATTTATACTTAATACAATTAGCTTCAATATGAACAAAATTATGATGAAGAAAAAGCAATTTTCTAAATAATTTCACTAATCTATGAAATTTCAATTATTTTTCTGTTAATTTCGAGTAGAAATGATCCAAACTTTAAGATTACATTTTACCCCATTTCTTTCCAAAGAAATTTTCCACTAATCTATGAAATTTCAATCACATTTCTGTTAATTTTGATCCAAACTTTAAGATTACATTTTACCCCATTTCTTTTCAAAATATTTTTTCACTAATCAATTTGAAATTTCCATATGTTTTTGTATTTTAAAATTACATTTTTACCCCATCTTTTGGTAAGTAAATTATTAAATCTACAATATCACCTCTATTTCAAAAGTACTTTTCACTAATCTATGAAATTTCAATTATATTTATGTTAATTTTGAGTAGAAATGATCCAAACTTTAAGATCACATTTTACCCCATTTCATTCCAAAATAAATTACTTCAATATGAACAAAATTATGATGAAGAAAAAGCAATTTTTCTAAATAATTTCACTAATCTATGAAATTTCAATTATTTTTCAGTTAATTTTGAGTAGAAATGATCCAAACTTTAAGATCACATTTTACCCCATTTATTTCCAAAATAAATTACTTTTCATTTATACTTAATATAATTAGCTTAATACAATATGAACAAAATTGTGATGAAGAAAAAGCAATTTTTCTCAATAATTTCACTAATCTAAGAAATTTCAATTATTTTTCTGTTAATTTTGAGTAGCAATGATCCAAACTTTAAGATTACATTTTACCTCATTACTTTCCAAAATAAATTACTTTTCATTTATACTTAATACAATTAGCTTCAATATGAACAAAATTATGATGAAGAAAAAGCAATTTTTCTAAATAATTTCACTAATCTATGAAATTTCAATTATTTTTCTGTTAATTTTGTGTAGCAATGATCCAAACTTTAAGATTACATTTTACCCCATTACTTTCCAAAATAAATTACTTTTCATTTATACTTAATACAATTAGCTTAATACAATATGAACAAAATTATGATGAAGAAAAAGCAATTTTTCTAAATAATTTCACTAATCTATGAAATTTCAACTATATTTCTGTTAATTTCGAGTAGAAATAATCCAAACTTTAAGATCACATTTTACCCCATTTATTTCCAAAATAAATTACTTTTCATTTATACTTAATATAATTAGCTTAATACAATATGAACAAAATTGTGATGAAGAAAAAGCAAGTTTTCTAAATAATTTCACTAATCTATGAAATTTCAATTATTTTTCTGTTAATTTTGAGTAGCAATGATCCAAATTTTCAAAAGATTTTCTCACTAATCAACGTGAAATTTCCATATGTTTTTGTAATTCTGACTAGCAATGATCCAAATTTTAAAATTACATTTTTACCCCATCTTTTGGCAATCAAATTGTTACATCTGTAACAAACGTTCTCAGCAATCTACGAAATTCTAGTTAATAAGTTTGCTAATTACTAATAAGATTAGATTTTTACCCCATCTTTTGGTAAATAAATTATTAAATCTACAATATCACCACTATTCCAAAAGTACTTTTCACTAATCTATGTAATATTTCTCTTAATTTCGAGTAGAAATGATCCAAACTTTAAGATCACATTTTACCCCATTACTTTCCCAAATAAATTACTTTTCATTTATTCTTAATATAATTAGCTTCAATATGAACAAAATTGTGATGAAGAAAAAGCAATTTTTCTAAATAATTTCACTAATCTATGAAATTTCAATTATTTTTCAGTTAATTTTGAGTAGCAATGATCCAAATTTTAAGATTACATTTTACCCCATTTCTTTCCAAAATAAATTACTTTTCATTTATACTTAATATAATTAGCTTAATACAATATGAACAAAATTATGATGAAGAAAAAGCAATTTTTCTAAATAATTTCACTAATCTAAGAAATTTCAATTATTTTTCCGTTAATTTCGAGTAGAAATGATCCAAACTTTAAGATCACATTTTACCCCATTTCTTTCCAATATAAATTACTTTTCATTTATACTTAATACAATTAACTTCAATATGAACAAAATTATGAAGAAGAAAAAGCAATTTTTCTAAATAATTTCAATAATCTATGAAATTTCAATTATTTTTCTGTTAATTTTGAGTAGCAATGATCCAAACTTTAAGATTACATTTTACCCCATTTCTTTTCAAAAGATTTTCTCACTAATCAACGTGAAATTTCCATATGTTTTTGTAATTCTGACTAGCAATGATCCAAATTTTAAAATTACATTTTTCTCTCATCTTTTGGCAATCAAATTGTTACATCTGTAATTTCGCGAAAAACGTTCTCAGCAATCTACGAAATTCTAGTTAATATTATGTTAAATCTCATTAGTAATTAGCAAACTTTGAGATTAGATTTTTACCCCATCTTTTGGTAAGAAAATTATTAAATCTACAAAATCACCTCTATTTCAAAAGTAGTTTTCACTAATCTATGAAATTTCAGTAATATTTCTGTTAATCTCGAGTAGAAATGATCCAAACTTTAAAATCACATTTTACCCCATTTCTTTCAAAAATAAATTACTTTTCATTTATACTTAATACAATTAGCTTCATTATGAACAAAATTATGATGAAGAAAAAGCAATTTTTCTAAATAATTGCACAATAAAATGTTATTAAATTAACATAAAAATTACATATTAATATATACATATTTTTGTTGTTCAAGGACATAATTTCATTATCTATATGGTAAAGAAAAATCATAATAATGAAACGTCCTTCCTGTATAGATATTAATTCAATAAAATCATTTAACATTGAAATGTATATGAAATTACATATTTTTCCACTTAATTCAATAACAATTTTCGAAAAATGTTTACTAAAACTGTAATTGACTTCAAGATTTACTATTATTAGATCTATTTACTTTATAATTAAGTCAATGGAATCAGCAGTAAATCAAATTTGTTACAATTTTCTTTCTTCGATAACTTTGTCAACTTTATCATGTTATATAATATTTAGTATATAGTTCTTGGAAGGACATTATCTCATTATCTCTTTCGATATACTGTTCTTTCCAATAACATCCTTTATCATATATAAATTTATTGAACTTTCCTTCCTGAAATTATTCAATGAAACTGACTTTTTTGCAATCCAAATTCTCATTTTACAAAGAAATCTTTATCTATGTGATATCTATGTCTTTTCAAATAATTAATTCCTGTATATTCCTTTCTTAAGATAATAATGAACTTTTTTGATTTCCTATTAGAAAATTTCATAGTATATTTTTGTAAATTACAATTTTTACGATTATTATCGTCAAATATATTATATTAACTACATAATATGATCAAGAAATTTCTATTTAGAGACTTACTTATAACGGAAATCTTCATTAGCAAAATTATTTCCAATTTGTTTATTTATTCTTGTGTAATTCTTTAGCAAATCGATTAACATCACGATTTAAATCTACTATTAATATTACCAAGAAAATTCCTCGGATTTTCCAATGTTAATAAGTTATTAATACTACTACGCAAAAAAAAACGTCTTTCACTTTTAAATTTTGCAATAACTTCGAAGAAATTCCAATCTAATTAAAATTAACTATCTTGTTAGTAGTCAACAAAATGTTCATTATTTGACCATAATTCGATTTGCATTTCTTTTTAATCTAATGAAATTTTCATTCTTTATACAAAATTGTTGAAAAACAAATAGTTTCACTGTTAATTTTGCAATGAAATAAACATCAAAGATATTTCTAGTCTAATGAGATTTTGTTTCTAGATATTGTCAACAAAACATCGTGATTCCACCTTAATGAGACGACTGCGAACAGATTAAGCAGCATTAATTAGAAAGCATAAAATTATGGTGCAGTCAGTCTACTTAAAAATTCTCAAATCAGGTTTTTCTATTTCTAATTAAAGAAAAAACTTATTTTTTTAATTATGTTTTATGACTTTAATTGCTCCTAAAGTTTCCATAAATATTTATGTTTTTCTTTTGGAGTTTGATTTTATAGTTTATTTAGTGAATTTGTGAGCTTCAGTCAAGTGAAATTTAAGTTTGAGGAATTGAATTGGTAAATACTTTAAAATTGTATAAATATTAAAGAAATGTAGTTTAAAATTTAAGTTTTTGTACGAATTTGTGTATTCAGTTTGGATAATTGAATTGGTAAAGTGTAAAAGCAAATAATAATGATGTAAATACTTTAAAAGTGTATAAATATTGAAGTTACTTAGTTTTTTTTAAAGCATTTGCGAAGAATTGAAGAAATGTTATTTAAAATTTAAGTTTTTGTACGAATTTGTGTATTCAGTTTGAGGAATTGAATTGGTAAAGTGTTAAAACAAAGAATAATGATGTAACTACTTCAAAAGTGTATAAATATTGAAGTTAATGTAGTTTTTGAACGCATTTGCGAAGAATTATAGAAATGTAGTTTAAAATTGAAGTTTTTGTACGAATTTGTGTATTCAGTTTGATGAATTGAATTGCTAAAGCAAATAATAATGATGTAAATACTTTAAAAGTGTATAAATATTGAAGTTAATGTAGTTTTTGAATGCATTTGCAAAGAATTATAGAAATGTAGTTTAAAATTTAAGTTCGAATTTGTGTATTTAGTTTGAGGATGTCAATTAGTAAAGTGTATAAGCTTAGAATAATGATGTAACTACTTGAAAAATGTATAAATATTGAAGTTACTTAGTTTTTTTAAAGCATTTGCGAAGAATTGAAGAAATGTAATTAAAAAATTAAGTTTTTGTACGAATTTGTGCATTAAGTTTGAGGAATTCAATTAGCAAAGTGTAAAAGCTTATAATAATGTATTAACTACTTCAAAAGTGTATCAATATTGAAGTTACTTGTTTTTTTTAAAGCATTTGCGAAGAATTGAAGAAATGTAATTTAAAATTTAAGTTTTTGTACGAATTTGTGTATTCAGTTTAAGAAATTGAATTGGTAAAGTGTAAAAGCAAAGAATAATGATGTGACTACTTCAAAATTGTATAGATATTGAATTTAATGTAGTTTTTGAATGCTTTTGCGAAGAATTAAAGAAATATAGTTTAAAATTTAAGTTCGAATTTGTGTATTTACTTTGAGGATGTCAATTAGAAAAGTGTAAAAGCTTGGAATAATGATGAAAATACTTCAAAAGTGTAGAAATATTGAAGTTACTTAGTTTTTTTTAAAGCATTTGCGAAGAATTGAAGAAATGTTATTTAAAATGTAAGTTTTTGTACGAATTTGTGTATTCAGTTTAATAAATTGAATTAGTAAAGTGTAAAAGCAAAGAAAAATGATGTAAGTACTTCAAAAGTGTATAAATATTGAAATTAATGTAGTTTTTGAACGCATTTGCGAAGAATTATAGAAATGTAGTTTAAAATTAAAGTTTTAGTACGAATTTGTGTATTCAGATTGAAGAATTGAATTGGTAAAGTGTAAAAGCAAAGAATAATGATGTAAATACTTCAAAGGTGTATAAATATTGAAGTTAATGTAGTTTTTGAATGCATTTGCGAAGAATTATAGAAATGAAGTTTAAAATTTAAGTTCAAATTTGTGTATTTAGTTTGAGGATGTCAATTAGCAAAGTATATAACCTTAGAATAATGATGTAACTACTTCAAAAGACTATCAATATTGAAGTTACTTAGTTTTTGTTAAAGCATTTACGAAGAATTGAAGAAATGTAATTTATAATTTAAGTTTTTGTACGAATTTGTGTATTTAGTTTAAGGAATTGAATTGGTAAAGTGTAAAAGCAAAGAATAATGATGTAAGTACTTCAAAAGTGTATAAATAATGAAATTAATGTAGTTTTTGACAGATTTGTGAAGATTTGTGAATTAAAATTTAAGATTTTTCTATGAATTTTTGTTGGTGAAAATTTGTGGAATCGAATGAGTGAAGTGTAAAAGCTATGAATAATACTAAAAAAGTGTACAAATATTGATATTAACTGTATTTTGAATTCTGAGTCAACTTTTGTGAAGAATTATTATTAAACAAATTCATAGAAAAATTTGAACATTTTAATTCAAATTTTTCTATGAATTTGTTTAAGTAAAAGCAAGAAATGATACTTAACTACTCTATACGTTTACAAATATTGATCTTAACTGTATTTTGTATCATTGTCAAATGATTTTGTGAGGAATTGTGTTAAGAAAGTGAGAATTTCGTAAAAAAAAAAATATTTACTTGTTTCGTTGAGAAAATGTTCGTATTTTCCGCAGCAGACGCGCGGATACTTGGCGCTGGATGGTCCGCAGAAGGAACTCGAGTAGAAACGGTATAAGGGATGTCCGGGAGTCACCGCTTTTCCACCGAAGAGCGGACACTGAAAGAGTTCCAAACACAGGGCGATTTCGCCGTTGGGAGTGGTACACGGAGTCGCGAATCCTAATTAGAAAACAAATGTTTACATAACCGATATCTTATCGAAAAAACTTTGGACGTTGTTTATTTGGATCAGAGAAGACGGAAAACTTGAATAAACTATACACTACTTACTCGGCGTTGCCGATTGGTTATGGACGGTGCCCAATGTAGCGACGAGGATCGTCATGGACAACGTCGTGTTGATATCCACCATCCTCATCTTAATGGTTGTTGTTGATGGGTTGCTAGGACAACACAAACAACACGTGCGTTTCCTGGGAATCAGCTGCTGCTGCTGCTGTAGCGACGATGAGACCAAAGACTTGCCAACCAACTGACCTCTGGGCCTTCCGATAAAACTCTTCTCTCCACTACGAATTCTGTTTGTCCGTTTCGTTGCGACTGATAAACATTTATACACATACATATGTGTTGTATCTGCTCGTCTCGTATCGTCGACGACGAATAAAGAGAAGCGCGCGCGTTTTGCACTCAAAACATACAAGTCAATTGCATCACGGCCTCATAATTTCGCTTTCATCCATCTCTTCGACCTCTCCTTTACAATTTTTTTTATTTCTGTTATTCCCCGCTTTCTCTCTCCATCTCCATCTCTCTCTCCGTCACACGCTCGAAAGTGTTATATATATAGCCGCAGATTATGCAGCAGCAGCGACGATATTGTTGTAATTGGCTAATTCGCTAATTCCCGCAAAAAGCCTGCAGGGCGCAATTCCGATAACGACCTTGATAACGGCGCGAAATATGGAGCGCCCTTATCCTTTTTTTTTGTATCATCCTGCAGCCGGAAGCCCAGATAAAAAGGGCTTTATTTTTCTCGTAATTTCATTAGGACCCGCGGCGCGGCCAACCCTAATTTACGTCCTCGTCCACTTACATTTCCTTTTTTGTTCTGCATAACAATTTTTCATTTCCAATGGGGAAAAAGTCATCTAAAAACCAAAAATAACGCATGCAAATAACAACAACAAAAATCGATTACTCTCTTTCATTTCTTCTTCTTTTTTTTTTTATTATATAATTACCTTTTTCCTCTCCCATCTCTTCGGCACCATCAATTCTCTTCTATAATAGAAAAATTAAACGACGCAAAATTTATTTTCAATTAAAAAATAAATTGCTTCTTTTTTTCCTCTCTCCGCACAGGATTTACCAATTAATATGCAAATTATCTTTACACAAAGATTAAAATTGATTATTTCTTTATAAATCTCCTACGAAGATGAGCGTTTCCAATCACACTGCATAACCTAATAAACGTCACATTACTGTCACAGCGATAACATTTCAACTGTCATGGAAACGTCATTTTGCACAACTTTTCATGTTTCATTTTCTTCACTATTTTATTTATCTGCAAATAAGTTTTCAAATTACAATATTTACCAATTAATATGCAAATTACCTTTAGCACAAGGATTAAAATTGATTATTTCTTTATAAATCTCCTGCGAAGATGAGCGCCAATCAATCACATTGCATAACCTAATAAACGTCACATTACTGTCACAGTGATGACATTTCAATTGTCATGGAAACGTCATTCATTTTATTAGTAATTTTACACAAATTTCTACGTCTTATTTGCATCAATATTTTATTTATCTGTAAATAAGTTTTGTAACTACAAGATTTATCAATTAATATGCAAATTACCTTTAACACAAGGATTAAAATTGATTATTTCTTTATAAAACTCCTACGAAGATGAGCGTTTTCCAATCAATCACATTGCATAACCTAATAAACGTCACATAACTGTCACAGCGATGACATTTCAATTGTCATAGAAACGTCATTCATTTTATTAGTAATTTTACACAGCTTTCTACGTCTCATTTTCTTCACTATTTTATTTTGTTTATCTGTAAATAAGTTTTCAAATTACAAGATTAACCAATTAATATGCAAATTACCTTTAATAGAAAGATTAAAATTGATTATTTCTTTATAAATCTCCTACGAAGATGAGCGTTTTCCAATCAATCACATTGCATAACCTAATAAACGTCACATTACTGTCACAGCGATGACATTCCAACTGTCATGGAAACGTCATTCATTTTATTAGTCATTTTATACAGCTTTCTAAGTCTTATTTGCTTCAATATTTTATTTATATGTAAATAAGTTTTGTAACTAAAAGATTTATCAATTATTATGCAAATTACTTTTAGCACAAGGATTAAAATTGATTATTTTTTTATAAATCTCCTACCAAGAAGAGTGATTGGAGAATCAATCACATTGCATAACCTAATAAACGTCACATAACTGTCACAGCAATGACATTTCAATTGTCATGGAAACGTCATTCATTTTATTAGTAATTTTACACAGCTGTCTACGTCTCATTTGCTTCATTATTTTGTTTATCTGTAAATAAATTTTCAAATTACAATATTTACCAATTAATATGCAAATTACTTTTAGCACAAGGATTAAAATTGATTATTTCTTTATAAAATCACACTGCATAACTTAATAAACGTCACATTACTGTCACAGCGATGACATTTCAACTGTCATGGAAACGTCATTTTACACAACTTTCCATGTCTCATTTTCTTCAGTATTTTATTTATCTGCAAATACATTTTCAAATTACAAGATTAACCAATTGTTATGCAAATTATCTTTTTCACAATGATTAAAATTGATTATTTCTTTATAAATCTCCTACGAAGATGAGCGTTCTCCAATCAATCACATTGCATAACTTAATAAACGTCACATTACTGTCATAGCAATGACATTTCAACTGTCATCGAAACGTCATTCATTTTAATAGTAATATTACACAGCCTTCTATGTCTAAATTTCTTCAATGAATTGAGAAGCAAATTGTTATAATTTTTATTTATTATTGATTTTAGACAGATTTTTCTTAATTTTTTAAACAGACTTTTATACGTGTATGACGTATTTTTTATTATTACTTCATAAACTATGTTTCATTCATTGAATGACAAATTGTTATTGTATTATATACATTTTTTTCTTTTTTAAAATTCCACTGAGTCGTTCTGGTTTGTAAAGACCGTAGGAATGCCGCAAATCGAATTAGTCATTTCCACGACACATTAAATAAAACCGCAGAAAGTTCAATGGGTTTTGTAGCATTATTGTGCACACTCGATGCATTTATTCCCATGAACTACATTACTCTGCAAAAGCTATTTTAACAAGTGTTACAAGTGTATTTATAACCTACTTCCTGCCAAAAAATATAATTCATTTCATACATTTTTTTATGGTAAATAAACACATACAAATTCACACATACACAAAAAATATCAATTATTATTTGTATAAAAATATGTATCGCATTGTTGCATAATTGAGGTCGTTGTGAGGGACTTTTGTAATCAAGTTTATAACAAATTTAAATAATTATGTAAATAATATTTGTGAAATTGTAGTTTTTTGTGTACAAATTATCTACAAATTTTAATTAGTTTCTTGTACCTTCATTTCATTGAATTCTAAACTTAATTTATTATTACATAAGTGTTAATTTTAAGATGTAATAAAAAAAAGTTCACAATTATTTCAAAAAAATTTCTTTAAATTGTTACTTTCCACACAAAATCCAAAAAAAGTTTAAAATTTTAGTTAATTCATCTAATTTGAACAAATTTAATTTGTAATTAATTAATTCCTTCTTGATTTCATTGAATTCTCACCTTTATTTATAAAATAAAAAAAATGCTTATTAAAATTGTTAATAAAAATGCAACAATTTTTCAAGTTTTCAATTATTTTTTTTCCATTCAAACTAAAGAATGTTTGATCTTTCGTATTATATAACGCTTTTATAGAATAAATTAAGTAAATTAGTATTCAAAATGAGTCAGTAAACTGTTTACAAATAAAGCAAAAAGAAAAATATAAACACATATTTTTTGTTATGAATCAGATTCTTCTTTTGTGCTTCACCACGTTTCATGGTAAAGTAATAAAATTACTAACTATTACTTTGCATTGTGCTGCACGTTTAAGTATTAGTAAAAACCGTAACCAAGTCACGTTTCTCTTTACAACCTGCAATTTTTTTTCTCTATTAAAACATTGAATAAAACCTACTTAGAAATGAGATTTTTTCAATCATTTATGAACAAATTAATTCAAAAACTTCTCAAAAATTATTGCGTTGGATTTTCAAAGGAATATCACATATATTTTTTTTTAATAACTTCTCAAAAATAACAAAGTTTCATGTGCGTAAACCATTTGTCCTTGTAACAGTTTCTATTTTAGCAAAAGCAAAATTATGCAACGCGCTAATAACGGTGTGCAGATAAATGGGAAATCCATGGGTGTGAAAATAAAAGTAAATGTAAGAAACTTATTCAATTTTATTTTTTTGCTCGTATTTCGAAACCGATCTAATTTCATTCTCATGGAAATCCTGGCAAGGTCGAAACGGTTTTGTTGAGGAAATTAGGGGGTGGCGAAAAAAAATGATGAAAGTGTCCAATTCTGTCCTCTTTTTTTTTCGTTCGTTTGAATGGAGAGAAATCGCAATTTTCCGCCCATCTGGAAATCGCAAATTCGCTCCAGGTTTCGACGCTCCAATTTTCTACGTATTTCGTATGCAACTCAGTATTCGATCCGGATTCTTTTCGATCCTTTTCTCTTCGCGTCGATTAGGGCGAATTCATCTCGAAATATTATACGAAGAAATGCGTATGCACGAGAGATTGAAGTGATGAAAAAAAAAAAGTGGAATTTGTATCGAAACGTGCACGTGCGTGATTGATATTCAATGTTTGCTCTGCGCAAACGAATTATCATCACCATCATCCCGAAATGTTCGTGGGACAAATACAACACAAATTTCTGGTGTGGATTTTTGAATAATTGATGTATTCGATTTTCGAGGTTTCTGCGTGTTCGTGTGTGTGCATGTGAAAAGGGTGGAGTAGTGAAAATTTTAGTGGTCTCGTCCATCGAGGCGGGATTTGTTTTGGGGGTTTTGAATGAATGAAATAAAAAAAAAAAAGATGAGTTGGCCATGCACGTATGGGGCTGTTTTGATTGAACCCGAACGGTTTAATATGCATGCGGATTTTGATGTCGACCAGACAAACAACCGAATCCAATTGGAATAATGCATCTGCGTACAATTTGAACAATTTTACACAATTATTTGTTTGTCCTCATTTCACCCTCATACACTTTCCATTTCACATGTGAAAATAAGCTTCGTCTAAACTAATGAAAAGTTAATTTCAATTAGAGATAAAAACATTTTACATACGCCTGAAAATTCATTCTGAAAAATAGGGTACATTTTGAGGAATGTCTTTTGCTGTGTTTTTCAGAGTTTTTCGTGAATTTCTCGACAACCCCTAAAGGTAATTTCATCATCGACCACTCGTATGAAAGCTGAAGATCTCACCTTTCCAACGCGCCTACATACATCTTTGTAGTTATATCGAGTCGCTTGTTATAAGCTGAAGAACATTTTTTTCTTGTTTTTTATTCAGTTTTT